AAAAAATTTGACAGGTACGGGTACGGGTATACCCGATACCCGACGGGGACGGGGACGGGGATGAAAATTACATAGCCGACGGGGACGGGGATGAGTTTAGCTCGCGAGGACGGGGACGGGTATCATGAAACCCGTACCCGCCCCGCCCCGTTGCCATCCCTAATCGAGGGGCGATTTTTAGTTATAAGTTTGGAGTTTAAGGAATGCCACTAATACCACAATTAACATCTTCATTGACATTTATATTGCTACCATCACTACACAAAATTTAAAATAATTTTAATGTAATAAAAATGTTCAAAGTAAATTTATTTTGAAACTAAAAATTAGAGAAAAAATTTAAACTAGAAAATAGGAATATTTAGTATTTGATTTTGAACTTATTGTAATTTTTAATTTTTTTTAAAACTTTGAATAGTATTATTGATAATGATAATAGTATTGATGATTGTGTTGACAATAACATGATAATGACAACAATAAAAAAAGTGATTGTCAAATATAAAAAAGAAAAATGTTTTCTTGAAACTAAAAAATAAAATTAAAATTCATAAATTATTTTTTAAAATTGTAAAAATATTTTAGCTTAACACATTTTGTTTTGCAAAATACATTTTTTTTTTAAAATGAAACCATCCTAAAGGGTCCTCAAATTTTTGTTTTAAAAGCTATTTTTTTAAAATTATTTTTCAAAATAAAAGAAAAAACTATTATATATTTTTTTTGTCAACAACACAATAATGAACAGGTTTTAAAAAAACTAGTGCCATAATATTTAAAAATTTTATTGGTTCAGTCCAAACCCCCAAACCACAAAGCATTTTCTTTTCATCTCTCTGAAACCGTAAACGTTGAGGAGAAAAAGATTGAAACCTAAAAAAAGAAAGTAATAGTAACAGTAACTAGTAATTAGCATGCAAAGCCACTCTAAAGCGCACCACGTGTGTTGTTTCTTCTTCCTATTAGATGGAGTTGGAGGGATTGCCATAACAAATATAACGGCTTCCACTGATTTTCCGATTCCTTCTGGGAAATAACACGCCATCCACTGTGAGTGTGTGGTTTTCGTTTTTTTCTTTTTTAATCATTTTACTTTGACACAAAACAACCCACATTTTATATTTTTCAATGTTATGGCATTGTTAAAGTAGAACATGATCACGTGACTCAGTTTGTTCTTCAAATGGTTTAGGGTTTGATCTGAGTTAGAATGAGATTATTCTAATTGTTGTGGTTTGTGGATTGCTAGTTGCTACGTTATTCAGTGCAGTTCACCTGTTGTTATTAAACACACATTGAAACAAGGTGCACATTTGTAGGCATTCCCTTTCTTGGCATTTGGTTTTCTTTTCTCTCTTTTTTTATTTGTTATCCATTCAATGATTTCAATCACTTCAACCTCTGTAGTTAAATATGATTTTACCTATAGTAAATACACAAAGGTTTTAAAAACCGGTTGATGACTGCAATTTTGGCCGCAACTTCAAGGTGTATGGATTCTCTGCAACTGCAATTGTGACCACGTTGGTTGTATTTGTCTGTGATTTTCCAAAATATCAAGGACACAACGATATTGCAACCGTGATCTCAATTTAAAACCTTTTATGTAATGGTTAATTGATACAAGGGGTGGGTGTATATGTAGAGTTCTTAAGAGAGATATACACTCACCCATTTTATTTTATTTTGAAGAGTAGGATTGATGCAACATTTGACATTGTCGCCATGTGACCTGAAGGTCACACAGGTTTGAGCCATGAAATCAGCATCCTCCAAATGCAAGTAAGTCATTCTATTGTAGACGCATAGTGGGGCCAGACCCTTGCTTCGGTCCCAAGTATGGTAGGAGCTTTATAGTACCACGCTTCCGTTTTTTTACCTTTTCTGATTCTATAGACTTGCCTTAGGCACAGGAAAGGTGGTGCTTTTGCATATATGGATTGTGTTATTTTCTTTTCATTTACTTAAGAATTTTGTCTTTGACCAACATGCTCACTTTGGGTGTTTTTTTTTTTGTAAATTTTGTTTTCTATACCCTTCAAATCACATTCTCTTTTAGTCACTGTCGCTAGTCCATAAGTCAGACAATAGTGTGCTAGTTGGTAGATGTAAATGTAATGACTCCACTGGAGAAACATATAATCTACATCTACTTAATTTTAGTGAAATGCATTCAGAGATTTTCAGATCATAAGAGAATAGCTTTTCATAATTGTCTGGAGTTCTGTTATGCCAAATAAATAGTGGCCTATATGAATCATGTTATTTAATGAATATTTCGTCAATATGAAACATCAAGTTACATTGATCTCATTTGATATTAACATTGCTTGATAACTCAATTTTTTCCCCTTGTTATAATGTTTGTGTCATTTATGCCTTGTTTTGTTTTTACCTGTTGCATAAGAGAATGTTAAAATGATATAAATTATCTCAATCTCATTTAAAGAACCATTCCAAAATCATTAAGAATTCAACCATAGTGTTACGAACTCTAATTTTACACACACAAAAAACTCTAGAACCAAAGTAGAGAGTTTGTATGACTGGGCTTTGGTTTCCCCTCCTTGACCAGCAGTTTTCTCAGAGTTCATAGACAGACATGATATTTTAGTTAACTAAAAGCTAATATTAAATGATGTGGGAATAACAGAAACAAGGAACTAATTGATATGTTTGCTATCTTCTGGAGAGGAATCAATGTGAAAGAGACAACTGAACCAACTGAACCAAGATAATGCAGCATAAAGGTGTAATCATTCTTAACACTTCTTTGTGAAATTTGATTATGGTCCTTTTATTAGATTCAATTCCATATATATATTTTTCAAACAAGATTATTGTTAGAATTTATGAAAACCTGGCAGAGCTCTTCTTGTGAAGCATTTAATTTTTCGGAAAGAAAGCTTTTGTTAGAGAAAATATTCTAACCACATTCAGGATCAACATATATACTGACACACATAAGGGGTAATAGATGCAGATGCAAAATGTGGTTGAATAAAATTCCTTTATTTGCGAAATAAATTTTGTATACAAATTTTTCCTCGGACCTTTCTTCTAAATTTGTTCTTTAGTGGCAATTGAGGATTGTTAGAAGATGCAAAACCATACTTGTTTATCCACTCACCAGCATATGCTTTTAGTAGATGATCTATGGCATGGTATTAGAGCCTTTATGACCAAGTTAAGAGTTTCAGGTCCAAAGGAATGTTAGAGACACAAAACCAAAGGAATGTTCTTGAGCCTCCACTTAACAACTTATGTTATTGGGAAAGATGGTCTTTGACAAGTGTTAAAATGTCAAAGTCTTTCATAATACTTATATTATTTGTTCCAGTCAAAATATGGTAAGATATGAAAGTTGGAATGCATAGGAAAGTAATAAGTTCTCATAGTTGACTAAATTTTTAATGTCTCTCTTTCCGTCTTTCTTGATTTCTTCGCATGTGCACAAGTGTGTACTCTCATGCTTTGCTTCTAAATCCACTTGGTGTGTTTGGGTGAGCATTATGTAAAATTGATTTTGAATAAAATTAATTTTGAAAAATTGAATTTGGATAGAATTAATTTCGATGTGAAGTGATTTATGTTAGGATGCTTATATCAAGAAACCAAGTTTGATGTAAAACTTGATGCAAATTTTTCAACCTAGCACAAACTATTTTTTTATCTCTTCTTGTTAGATCAAGGTTCGGTGGCAAAATCAATTTTGATACTTCCCACCATGAAACCAAACACAAACTAATTGATCATATCTAGCAATAAAGGAGAATATCTGAAGGTCAAACCTACTTAAATTTTAAGTAGCAAATATCTAATTTTTAATTGATCAAATCTAGCAATAAAGGAGAATATCTGGAAACCAAGTTTGATGTAAAACTTGGTGCAAATTTTTCAACCTAACACAGAAGCTACTTTTTATCTCTTCTAGTTAAATCAAGGTTTGGAGGCAAAATCAAATTTGATACTTGCCACCATGAAACCAAACACATACTAATTGATCATATCTAGCAATAAAGGAGAATACCTGGTGGTCAAACCTCCTTAATATGATCAATCAAATATGTTTTATCATATTTGATTTGACTTGTGGTATATCAGCTAATTTTATAAAAAAAAATGCTATATCTTCATTGAACTATGATGTTGTATCTCAATGTGGCCCATTTTGCAGATATAAGTTCAAGTCATTTTTGGTTGTCACGTGGAACATGTGTTTCAGCTGAATTGGACTCTAGACGGCCCACAATGTGCTATGGCACAACTGTTAATTTTAGCTCCTTGAAGATTTTTTTCCCCTAGCATTAAGTCTTACCCTACTATGAATAGTCTTTGGAGGGAGAGTGGTAGGTCTTAGGATCTAGGGCCGTCTCTAAAGTTATGGTGGCCGAGTGGTGATCAAACATCTTTTGTTAGCCAAAGTATTAAGGTAACTAAAATGTCTCTTTTTCTTAATATGTTTTATAAAGAGGATAGAGTGTTTTCTTATTTATGCTTATAGAGACCACAACTATTTTTTTATCTTTTTCAAAAGAAAGATCTGAACATCCGATGTTATTTATATTGATGATATTCTTCATCTTAGTGAGGTACATTTTGGGAATCTCATGAATAGCGGTGTGCAAAAATCTAAACCGATCCCAAACCAATGTTTTTGAGAAAAACCGAACCAATCTACTTTACAAAAATGGTTCACTTAACTGATTTGTTTTTACAAAGTTGGTCGGTCCACTTCGGTTCAATTTTTGAAAGTGAACCATATATACAAGTATAGAGTGGATAATTGAATTGCACCAACCCTAACTGATTTTTAAAAAATCCAATTCATTTTTTAAAAAACCGAATCGAACCACTTTATAAAAATGGTTTGTTTAACTGAACCATTTTTATAAAATAGATCCGTTCGGATTGAATTTTTAAAATATCCAGTCCATGAATAGCCTTACTCGTGAATATCTCACTTTCTCAATTTGTACCATAAATGTTAGTCAACAAAAATATGCATTCCAACATTTTTTTTTGTTCCCCGTGTGCATATCTGTATGCTTGGAAAAGGGTGTTTGACATCGTGATGTCTATTTCTCAATGATAGTCATACTGATTCATACATGTATCACACAATTGAAAGTCATTTGCCACTCATTACATGAAACAAATTGCAAGCTTGTAAATTCTGTTGAATAGTATGATTTGAATCACAAATCATGTGTTTTTATAACAACTATAAGTTATTCCTCGATCCCCATTCATCCAACTCTATCATACTATAAGTTATATCTGAGTCTCTGAAGATTAAGTGTTTAAATTCAAACCAATATACCATTTGTGGGTGTTTTGTTACTGCCCCATGCCCTGTGCCCTGTGCCATGAAATTTATTTCATAACATAAATTTGTAGGTGTTTTGTCATTTGTCTTTCTCCATTATACCATTTTCTGGTTTTTCCTTCTTCCTCTTCTTGCTTTCATAGGTTGAGGGAAAAGTGAGTGGCTAGTCTTAATTCAATTATTTTGTCACTTTGATTTTATCTATTAAAAACTCCCTCATTTGCACTATATTCCATCTTAATTCAATAGAAAAGTTTTTAAAAGCACTTTTAACTTGTATATAAACAAGCTCAATGTAGGCAATTTATGTGTATTTGAACTGTGCTTGTATTTTTATGCTGTTGAAACAGACAGTTACTCTGCTATTAATAAAAACGGAAAACTTAGTGGTAGTTTTACAATTTTTAGGGAGGTTTTCTAAAATCGTGGATCAGTATTGTTCACTCTAGAAGATGAACGAGCAGAGTGAAGGATTAGGGTCTTCAACTCCATCAAATGTTCCAATGAAACGGAAACGTGGGCGACCACGCAAAGTGGATAGTGGAGTTCAGAGAACGAACATGCCTGCAATGCCTAACTCCAACCAAACAGTAGGTACATGCGATGATTGTGTTGATGGAATGCTGGGGAAGGAGGTCGCTTGTGTCATTGAAGGCACTTTCAATGGTGGATATCTTGTTAATGTTCAGGTGGCAGCCGATACTTATTTAAGAGGTGTTGTTTTTCTACCAGAGCAAGTTGTTCCAGTTACTGCAGAAACTGATGTCGCTCCACAAGTCAGGATGATAGAAAGGACAGAGATTCCTATTCCTATTCCTGTTCTTAACCCCGAGACTCAGATACATCCTTCTGTCAAACAAGAAGAAACATTGCATGAAGATTATGCTGATGGAGGAGCAACAAAAGACTCTCAGCAAACTTCTCAACCCAACAACTTAATTCCACCAGTTCAAAACACTGAGAAGGAGCTCGCAACTGGACAGCACTCTACGCCTTCTGTGTACAAGCTGAATGAATTGATTCCTGATGAACCAAAGCCTTCAATTATTGAAACTAACCAAATCCCTATATCAACAAAAGACTCTCAGAAAACTTCTGAAGCCATCAACTTGGTTTCAACTGTTGAAAACACACAGAAGGATCTCACAACTGGACAGCACTCTATACCTTCTGTGTATAAACAGAATGAGTTGATTCCTGATGAACCTAAGCCTTCAATTATTGAAATCAACCAAATCCCTGTATCAACAAAAGATTCTCAGAAAACTTCTGAACCCATCCACTTAATTCCAAGCTTTGGAAACATTGAGAAGGGGCCCACAACTGGACAGCAGTATATGCCTTCTATGTATAAGCTGAATGAGTTGATTCCTGATGAACCAAAGTCAACAAAAGACTCTCAGAAAACTTCTGAACCCATCAACTTAGTTCCAACGTTTGGAAACATTGAGAAGGGGCCCACAACTGGACAGCAGTATATGCCTTCTATGTATAAGCTGAATGAGTTGATTCCTGATGAACCAAAGTCAACAAAAGACTCTCAGAAAACTTCTGAACCCATCAACTTAGTTCCAACGTTTGGAAACATTGAGAAGGGGCCCACAACTGGACAGCAGTATATGCCTTCTATGTATAAGCTGAATGAGTTGATTCCTGATGAACCAAAGTCAACAAAAGACTCTCAGAAAACTTCTGAACCCATCAACTTAGTTCCAACGTTTGGAAACATTGAGAAGGGGCCCACAACTGGACAGCAGTATATGCCTTCTATGTATAAGCTGAATGAGTTGATTCCTGATGAACCAAAGTCAACAAAAGACTCTCAGAAAACTTCTGAACCCATCAACTTAGTTCCAACGTTTGGAAATATTGAGAAGGGGCCCACAACTGGACAGCAGTATATGCCTTCCATGTATAAGCTGAATGAGTTTATTCCTGGTGAACCAAAGCCAACAAAAGACTCTCAGAAAACTTCTGAATCCATCAACTTAGTTTCAACCTTTGAAAACATTGAGAAGGTGCCAACATCTGGACAGCAGTATATGTCTTCTATGTATAAGCTGAATGAGTTGATTCCTGAGGAATCAAATTGCTCAAATACTGAAATCAACCAAATCCCTGTATCTGCTGAGCATGAATCCATGCCTCCTGAACAGATGAAGAATACTGTTGACAATATTATGCAGAAGCAGGGCTCTCCAGAAACAGGTACACAAGAAGGTACCAAAACCAAGCTTCTCATTGAGACCATGACCAAAGTTGACACCTCAAACTCAAATGGAAGGCCAAGTACTGGCATTGCTAACATTCTTGATGTGGGATCAAACCATGCATTGGAGTTCAGCCACCCTCCAATACTGTTTGGGAGAGAGACTGTTCCTTCTGAGTCCAAGCTTTTATCTGAAGGATCTAATTTCCAGGAGATGCGTGATCCCCAGAACTGTGGCTCGTTTGGTGCTGTTAATAATCTGGATGCCAATCAACCTACTCAAGTTTTGGTTACTTCATTGGAATCTGAAAACCCAATTGGATCAGATGCTTCTTGAACTGGTAATGGTTATGGTAGTCACTTGTCATGACTGTTTTATAGGAACGGAACTAGACATTTGGATTAAAATGTCTCTTATATATCTTGATGGTTTTTTAAAGTATTTTCCTATACTGGAACTGTTTGATTTAATGAGTTTCTTTTTAATAATATTATGATATTCTTAGGAAAAACTCTCCCAATAGTTTACTGTTTGTACATTTTAACCTGAGATATCCACATATGCAACCTATTTAAGTATGATCGTCATGAAACTGGAAATGTGTTGTTATCCAAATTTTGAATGATGATTTCATTAGTCACATATCTCCGGAGGTAAACAATGTCCTGCTTGATACTATTCAAAAGAAAGTGTTTTTTCCCCCAACTCCCACGTATGGCATTTATACCATCTTTGCATGATGAGGCCTGTCCTAGAGGGAGAGACAGAGAGAGTTTAATGTTGTACGGGAATATAATCAAGTGCAGTCCAAAAAAGAGCTGCACTATGAATAGGTTATAAATCTAGGGATGTTGTTTTTCTGTTTAAAAAATATATATAATTCTATCTCATAATAAAGTTTTATTGTTTTTGAAGTTGGGATTTTTCTGCAGTTGCTGAAACAATAGGATTCTAGGTGTGTTTGTGTGAATGATTTTGCTTTTAGTGGCCATAACAAATATATTTTAAGTTGGGACTTGGGAGGATTAAAGTCATTAAATCAATAATACGTAAAACACAAAGGTGCTGATGTTTTTTGTTTTCTTGGGAAAAAAAGTTATTCATTTCGGTCCCCATTATTAAAAGAACCATGTGCTGTTAATAGAATGTTGATGTTTCTTTTTTCATTCTACCGAAAAGGGCTTGGGTGCAGGAGTATGCAGACTGTGGTCTCATCTCAACCAAGGAAGACATTTTCGAGCTACCCAAAAGTGTGTTTTCCAACATGGCGTGCCAAAACATTTTGCCCATGCAGCTAAGCAGGGATTTGTGGTTGGAACAATTTAGCCGTAGGCCTCTTCATTTTACTAAAGGGTGGTGGACATGGCCGGACTTCGGTATATTTAATATTTGAAAATTATAAAGTTTGAATCCGGACTTTTATTTTTATTTTTATTTTTCATGTTTTTATGACTTTGACATGTTTAATAGTCTAACAGTCTGTTTTATAGAATGTTCAATGCCATGTTTATGAACAAGTCAATAGATCTGAGTAGATTAACGAATCTAAGTATTAAAAGCATTATTATAGTATTATAAGCAAAATTATATTTTTGGTTTTCTTATATAATTTTCAATCAACGATATTGATCTAATTTTTAGTTATGCAATTTTATTTTTTTAATTTTGTAAAACATGTAATTTTGATTCAACGATTAAATGTTTATCTGTTGGTTATTAAAATTGTTACGATGTGTATGACTTAACATTATTAAATGATATATCAATAAATATTTAATAATATTTAGATTAAGACATACTTATAACTTTTAGTTTATCTCATTAAAGTAATTAGATGAGATAAAAATAGGATATTTTAGCCTAAATGTTATTGAGTATTAATTGTCACATCATTCATTTAATGTTAGATCATGATAAATGTTACAATTTTAATAGTCAATGAATGAAATTTAACTATTAAATTAAAATTGTGGATTTTTTTATAAAATTTAGAAACAAAAATTGTAGAATTAAAAATTAGGAAACCAAAAATACAGATTAAATTATAAAAACTAAAAGTACAACTTATTCAATATTATAGGTTTAAATATGTTTTAAGTCTCTCAAATTTAAGATAAATTTGTTTTTGGTTCCTCAAATTTAAAATCGTTGTTTTTAGTCCTTACAATTTTCAAAAATATTATTTTAGTCTCTCAGATCACTAATAACATATATGAAAATAACAAATTAAGACGGTTATGCAATATTAATTAAATTTAATGTGATATTTTCACTAACAGGGATACCGATAGGTAGATTTTATACAATAATATTTGATAAATTTTTTAATAAAATTTGAATATAAGGACTAAAATAAGATTTTTTGAAATTACAGGAACTAAAAATATTAATTTTAAATTTAAGGGACCAAAAACAAATTTATCCTGAATTTGAAGGACTAAAAACATATTTAAACTAATATTATATTATATGTTAAATAAGTTTATTTATTATTAGGGTGAAAATAATTCAACGGAGACTTATGCATAACCTACATTAGGTCCAAATTAGGCTTTTTAGAAAATGTCGTGTCAATACTTTTATTAAAACTTTCATAAATACTAAAGATGCTTGTATAAGAAGTAAAAGCTTAGAAATTTGTTTAAAGATAAATTTATGTGATATTTTTAGATATTTTAATGCAAAATATATTTTAAACAAGTTATATCAAACCATAAAATTATGATTATAAATATATATTGATTTTCGTATTAAACCTTAAAAATATTGTATATTATATAAACAAGTTACATTTGCTTTTTTTTTTTATTTATTTATCAAACTTAGCATATTTTTACTTATATATTAGTGTTAAATTATTATAAAATAAATTTTGAAATAGGTTTGTAAATTATGTCAGATTTTTATATAGGTCAAGTCCAAGTTTTTAAAAAAATAAACTACGAATGTAAATAAGTAAGACATAGTGTTTTAAAAATCGGATTGGATCGGCCGATCGAACCGGTTGAATCGGGAATCGGTGGTCTAGCCGGTCCAAATCTTAAGTTGGATTGGTTATGCATTCAACCCGTTTTAAACTGGATTGAACTGGTCAATTTTTTTGTTCAACCAGTGAATTGGTGGATCAAACCGGTTCAATCACAATTTTTTTAAATTTTTTTTAAGGGATCACAAACCACAAAAATAACAATGAGAATTAAATTTTTTTAATGAAAAAGCAAAGAGTCTTATTAAACATAACAATGACTACTTGTTCTAATGTATTTGTTTGTAATTTATGCAACTTAAATAATTTTTATAGTATATTATTAATTTTAAATTATATATTTAATAATATAGTATCTATGTAGATATTACATATATTATTTTGTGATATCAATTGCAAGCATATTATATTAGTACATATTATTTATATTTTTAATTTGTATTAATATACAATTTAACATGTAATTTTTTTTATGTATTTCTTTAAAGAAAATAAAAATAAAGAAATTTAAATAAGATGGAAATTAAAATTTAAAATAGGATATGAATTTATTGAAATTTAAAATAGAATATGAATTTATTAAAATTTATAAGTATAAAATATATTTAACATGAATGTTTTTTAAAAAAATTAATAAAAATTAGGTCATGCGATTCAATTAGTGTCCCACTAGTTCAACCTTTAACTCACTAACTCAGCATCCCGAATACTGTAATTGATTTAATGAACAATCCAATTTTTAAAACTATGTTTAGACATGGACTATATAATATGTATATTTAAGTAAGGCTTAATAAAGTCTATTTCAACCTAATATATCTTCATTCCTACTTATGAGGTTAGTTATGGTTTTTGAAAGTGTGAAATCTCATTTTGTAATTATTTTTAAAAAAAATTAAGTTAAACCTGACGCTTTTAATATACGATCAAATTATTGACCACTAACAAATTATCTAACATATTTTCCGTTTACAAGTCGGATCATAGATCACTAACAAACCTAATCCTAGATATGAAACATAATTTCTAATTCTTAATAGACATTTTAGATAAATTTCTCAATAAATCTATAATGATATATAAATGATAGTTTGTTTTATATATACAAGTTTTTGAACTATTTTACCCATATAACTCTTTTCAAACACATTCTCCAACTATTTCTCTCATAATCTTTTCATCTAATTTTTATTTTCTTTTTCTACTTTCTGTAAATAAACTAATAAAAAATAAAAGAGTAAAATGAATTACACTTCTCACGGAAGTTATACGTCAATACGTCTTAGCTTTTCTAGAAACTTTCTCATCTCATCTAATAGTGTTAGGTTTTAATAGGCAAATGTTGTCTCCTTCACTAATCTTGATAGAAAAGATCCAACTAGGATGACAATGAGCCTCATGGGTGCGAGTAATAGTAAATTCATTCCCACCCTACTGGATGAAAATTGGCCTCATACTTGCGTGAGTATCTGTTAAGTGGATATTTATGAATTTATTGAATATCCGTGGATATCCATGAATATCTATAGATATTTATAAATTTTTTAAGAAATTAAAAAATTATATTACAAATTATTTTAAATTTATATTTAATGTCATTGAAATATTAAAATTAAAAATTTAATGTTAATTTTGAACTTGTAATTAACTTTAATTTTATTAAAATAATAATAAAAAAACAACATAATCAATAACTTAAAATACATCAATAAGTGAAAGTCTCATTACAAAATTACAATAATTCAATCTCATAATGTGTGATGACTAATGTGTGGGCTGTGCAACTATGGAAAAAAATAATTAAGATGAGAGTGTAATTTTAAGATTATGTGATAAAAGAATAATTAGGATATTTAAGAAATGTTATTAACCGGATTCCCGTGGGTATAGATACCATCATACCCACTCCCCCGTTTATAAACGGGTAAAAAATTATCCATCTTTATTATTCGTAAGTACTCAATTAACCTACTCATTTATTATCCGTAGCGAATTTTACCCACAAATACCTGTGATGCGAGTATTTTTGTCATTCCTAAATCCAACTATTTACACATTTCAAGCTTTAAAAACATTCAAATCCTAAAATTATCAATTACAGTACTTCGTGAAGCAGCACATTTGTGGGTGTTCACCGCACACCACCAATAAAGTAGCTCACCATAGCATGAGACAATTTAGATATCTTTAACAAGTACTTATCATAAAAGTATTTTCGCAATAACTTTCATTACATGAACTATTAAATTAAAATTTTGTTAATATTAACTCCTTTAAGATATCTTTAACAAGTATTTATCCTAAAAGTATTTTAGCAATAACTTTCATTACCTAAACTACTAAATTAAAATTTTGTTAATATTAACTTGAGAATGAAACATATTTAGTATCCTCTGGCAACTATTTCATAAATTACGTTATAGAACAAAAGTCCTTTTTCTTGAGCTACTGTAATCAAGTTTTAAGCTTTAATAGGCAATTATTGAGTCCTTCACTAACGTCCATAGAAAAAGCCCTACATGTTACAAGCTAATTAAAATTGGATCCAATTTACACATTTCAAGCTTTAAAAGCATATACACAAATCCTAAAATAATTTCATTACTTCAGAAGCATATATACAAATACAATTCCTCAAATAACAATATCAACACTTTCTATAACAAGTTATTTATGGTTGTTTCACCATACTATACCATTTATAACTCGCAAAATATCTGATACATCAAAAGAAACCGATGCCAAGTTTAAAAACCTAATTAAGATTGGATTATACATTTTTAGCAATCAAAAGCCATCTTTAAAAAATCCTAACAAAACTACAATTTACCAGCGGCTGAATATCCAAGAACAAACACATCTTAAAACCATATCAATGCATAATAGAGACTACTTTATATAATAAGTATCCTACATGCAAATTTTTATGGATACAAAAGACGTTCCGATAAAATTTAATGTTATTGAGCAATCAAAGGAAAAAGAAAAAAGGGGCAGAGTCGGTTTTCAACGAGACAAGAGAAGAGATACGCAACTCGATAAGTGTCATAAGATTACAAAAGTAAAGGAATAGACTTTCAACTATATCCTATTTGTTGCTGTTGCTGAGGTGGTTGATAACCAGGATACCCTGGATAACTGCCATACATGTTGGGATCCTGTCCAGCAGGAGCATAACCATAATTTTCATAACCTTGAGCAGCATATCCGTAATATCCAGCAGCAGCACCATTCCACTGGTTTTGATCTGGCTGCGCCTGAAAAACAAAACATTCAAGGTCATTAATTGCATAATTGGTTTTTCAACCACATACCTCAAACGCGGATCAGAGAAACAACTATTAGTTATTTTTGGTGCATTTTGATGTAAAAATATGATAAAACGCAGATCATCAATTAGAATCCAAACACACTAAATATAATCGAAAAACATTGAATTAGAAGCCAAATGCAAAGATACACCACTATATAATTACCTGTTTGTTTGAAGGACTGCGGCCCCATGAAAGTCGAACGTTTTGTCCTCCCAATAGTGTCCCATTTAACATCCGCAGGGCCTCTTCAGCACAGCTCCTGATGCATAAAAAAAAAAAAAGCACAATTAGAGGGCTGCCTAGACTAGAAAAAGCTATCGCACAAGCTGAATGTTTAACATAGGAGAGGTTATATTACCTGTCTGTGAATTGGACAAACCCACATCGCTTGCCAGCTGGAATCTTCACATGAACTAATTCTCCATACTGGCTGAAAACTTGCCTCAAATGATCATCAGTGACATTAGGATCCAGATTGCCAACAAAAATCTGCAATTAAGATTCAAGTTAGAAACAAGTTGGAATAAAAAGCAGTTTGTATATTGCAAGGCAGTACGCACAGTTGTATTGTTTGGATCATTCTCATTCTGTGTGCCTTGAGGTTGAGCATTCTGATATGAAGCTGCATGTTCAAAATAAAAGTGAAGTAAAGAGATGAATTATGTAAACATGGAAAAGAAAACAGAGAAGCAACATATCAAATAAATACTGTAATGACTAAAGGGGTTCAATTTGTTAATAAAAGAACAAGGATTCTATGTAGGTGCTATTTATAGCATGCAAATATTTAGTGTGCAATCTCAGGAGCAACAAAATTATTCAGTGCCATACTTTTCCAGGCACCACAGACCTTCAAATAAAAAAAAGGTAAATATACTCAACGATAGAATTAAAAGGAATATATAAATAATAGATAATAAGATATAGAGCATAAGCAACAACTTGGTCAGTGCCTTACAAGCACCACATATCTTCAGAAAAGTAGTTGGACACTAATCACCTATATAAATGAAACCAGTAGAAGTTTTTTACCATGCATATAAATAAATTAGAGTAAATTCAACAAAGATAGTAGTCATATAGTGAAAATGGCAGAATATTAAAGGCACAATTAAATTAAAAGTAAACATAAATAACGGTCATGGCAACTGGTAAGCAGCAAATATCTATAATAAAAAATGACAAGTACAACACAACCAAGACAAATATACAGGTCCAGGCAAAAAGAAAATATCTTAACTAAAATGACAAGCAAATAGGAAGAAGTAAATGAAGACAGCATAGAAGAAGAATGAATTGTCATATATATTACATTATATACAAGAAAAGCCAATAGATACAACCTTGAACTTGATCATCTCCACAATACTGTATCTAAATTTTTCTAGTACTTGAGAAAATAAGATATTAATAACGAGTTTGAAAGACCATGCTAACTGAAAGGAAGAAGGAAATGAAGACAGCATAGGAGAAGAATGAAAAAGGATATATATATATATACCACATATATTATATGCAAGAAAGGCCAATAGATACAACCCTGAACTTGACCATCTTCGCAATCCTATATCTAAAGTTTTCTAGTACTCAAGAAAATAAGATATTAATAACAAGAGTTTGAAAGACCATGATAACTGAAAGGAATGAGCAATAAAAAGTATATTACAACTTCAATTGCATGCCATTGCGCTTAGAAATTGGGAACAACTGAATGGGAACAGAATCTAATCATCATGAAAACATGAAACCACGCGATAAAACAATCAACCAGCCAGTAAAGTTTCTGGGAAATCAAAGTAATAAACACTGGCACTCAACATTTTCCCATGGACTAGATTGGAAACTGAAATTAGCAGGCATTTGATAGAAGAAAAGAAGAAATTACTAAAGTTAAATAAGATCTTTTTTGGCACAAGGGAACACTACAACAGAAAGTCAAAGATGTAGTTCTTATGACAAACTAATAGGAGTAAATTAAAGGAACAAAGATTAAGAATGGAGGACTAAAAAATAAGTAACTAGAGAAGTTGCAAATGTAATTTGAGTAAAAACTCAACCAACAAATGGAATGAAAAGAACTTGAAATTGTAGGCAAGAAAAGAAAATGCCACAAAAATTAACGGGCAAAACTTAAACGGATAACTGACCTAAGCAAGGACATGCACTAAAATGGTAACCATTTCAGCTGAAATCAGTTCCAGGCTCCGGGATGACAGAGCCTCCTGACACCCTGCTTTGAGACAATAGGAGTTCTATAAGATTTTATTATTATATATAATAATTTATTTAGCCCAAATTTTCAAAGGAAATTGCAGGAAGAAACGAGTTTGGACTGCAAATCTTCAAGTGCGTAACTGAAAAGAATCATAACTTAATAACATTTTGCATCACCACAAAAGATATTTGAGACATATGGCCTTAAACTCAACCACCATCAATCATACAATGAAGACAGCTCAATTTTCTGACATGCAGCATATGAGAGAGATATGTGCAGCAAAAAGAACAAACAGCATAACAAAAAAGACAAACCTTTTGGCTGAGTGGCTGGGGTTTTATTAGAGGCTGGTCCAATTCTCATGGGTCTTGTTGAGCAAAGAACCCCTTGCATCTCAGACATAGCCCTCACTTGCTCACTCTCATCAGCAAACCTTACAAAGCCATACCCTTTGGTCCGGCCAGTTAGCCTATCAATAACAACCTTTGCCCCCTTGACCGAGTTATATCGGGCCCTAAATGTCTCTTGAAGGAGATAATCAGTAACATCTGCAGCAAGGTCACCAACAAATATGGTATGATCAGGAGAATCGTCATGTCGCCTCTCACCAGCACTAAAAGTTGCCCAGTTCAACCTGAAACTCTGCCCCCCATTCGGCATAATAGACCCATTATACGTTTGGAGAATCCTCTCAGCTGCAGCACGACTATTAAACTCAATAAATCCATAACCTTCAGATTGACTAGTTTGCTTGTTTCGAATCACTTTAACTGATGTAACCTACAATCCAACAAAACCCACACTTAAGTATCACAACAAAACACACTAACATCAAAATCAATACAAGATTCAAACTAACAAGTACACAGGTTTAAAAATATATCAAAACACGCACAGCAAAATCCCTATTTAATATTGTCAAAAAACAAATGACACAGATCAATACAAAAATCTAACATTCAATGCTACAAAACCTACTCTTAAATATCACAACATGACAACAGAACTCTCAAATGTCATGATCAATACAAAATTAACATCGGCAAGTACACATTTAAAAAAAAAAAACTAGTGGCATAGCAGGATAAATTGACTTATCAGAAAACCCTGATCAACTTTTTCAAAAGTAACACAAAACATACAAAAGTCAACCTACAATCTCACAACCCACACGGCATCACAACAGAACACAAAGCTCTAAATCAACACAGAGACTCAAGTAAAACCAGGTACACAAATTTAAAAAACAACCTAAAACCCAAATTCACTAAGCAAAAACCCTAATTAGCTTAGTCAAGAAAAAGAAAATAATAAAAAAACACAAAACATGTTCAAATCAAGGAAGCACAAGAGTTATATATACCTCGCCAGTATGAGCAAAGCATGTGTAAAGATAGTTCTCGTCCATCCAGTACTGCAAATCGCCGATCCAGAGGGTCCGAACCTCGTCGGCGCTGGCAGGCTGCTGCTGCTGCGGCGGCGGCGGAGCCTGGGCGGAGGGAGCCCACATGGGAGGCGGCGCCTGAGGCTGCGGCGGCATCATGACGTATGGCTGCTGCTGCTGCTGTGGCGGCGGCTGCTGGTACTGTTGCGGCGGCTGTTGGCCCATGCTGGGAGGAGCCATGCCGGGTCCTGGCTGCATCATCTCGCCCAGCAAATCTCAAAATTCTAGAGAGAGAAAGAGAGAAAGTGAGAGGGCCAGAGAGAGAAAGAGAGAGGAAGAAAACGAGGGCTGGATGCCCTTTAAAGAAGACGCAAACCCTAACCCTAAAAAGGTAAGGTGCGTGGTGCGTGGTGCGTGGTGCGTGGTGCGGTATATATGGTATGGGTATGGGTATGGGTATGGAATGAAAAAAGAAAGCATTTCGTTTTTATTTTATTTTATTTTTTTATTCTTTTTGCTAATTATTAATTAAAAGATTGATTGATTGATTTTTATCGTTTCGTGATTGGGTGGAGTACTCTCATTGGCTACTTCTTCAAAACGACACATGTTCTCTGCAACGCGTGTAATAAATAATACATTCATGATTCATGTCCTCTTCCTTAACGTAAACGTATTTCGACTTTTATTTTTTTGCCCCGATAATTATTTCATTTTATGATTAAAAAAAATTATAATTTCATTTTTATAACTATATCATTAACATAATTTAATTTAAATATTAAACTAATATCACAATATCTGTATTGTATAGTATAATAAATAAATATTTGAAATATATTATAATTGAAATTATAATAAATATTTTCAAATATGTAAATTGGATTTTATATTTATAATAATAATTTTTCTTATATGATATAAATTTATTTTTATTTTTAATAACTTTTAAAATTAAAATTAAATTTATAAAATAGAGAAAAATAATAAAATGAAAGACATAAAATATTCAAAAAGACCTTAAAATGTTTTTGTTCATAAAAATTCTAAAACCTCTCTCAATATACTTCCTAAAACCTCCACATTCAAAATAACCATTCTTACTTACATGTAGATTGGAATTAGATTAGATAACATTATTTTTTATATACTTTTTTAATTTAAAATATATTATCGATATTATTTCAATAAATCTAAAAACTTGTGATAAGAATGATAATTAGTTTTAAAATATTAATTATTACATCTAAAATATAAATATTATTTGAAATATACTAAAAAATTCTTTAGGAAATAAATTAATAATATTTGAATATGACATAGTTTGTATGACAAAATTGAAGGAAAATAAATTAATATTATAATTTAATAAATTTCTGTTTATATAATATGAATTCTCTATCCATCTATATGGTTTTAGAATGGGTTAAATAATTTTAAATCTAAATTTAAAATTTAATGTAATATTTTACTAAGTACATAAAATAAAATATTTTTTTTTGCATAATTATAATTTATGATAACTAAATATTTATAATATAAAAATTACTTTTAGATTCATTTTGAATAATTTTATGATTTTTAAAATAAATAATACATACATCAACAATATTTTTTTTATACTATCATTTATTTATGAATTATTATATAGTAAATTGTTAATTTATAATAGCTAACTTAAATTCCTATTAAAAATGATTTATGATTTATTAATGAATAAAAAATTTTAAAAAATAATTAATCATGAGAGGTTCAACAGATGAATTCATTTATCCATCATTCATGGAATCCATTTATAAGTAAATTTATCTAATCTATTTATTACAATAAAAATAAATAATAGATTAGATTCATTCCATTCACTTCATTTTATGGATGATTAGTGATTTATTCGATATTTTTTCAAGATTCATTAAATTATAATATGAAATATCTATTGGATTGAGATTTTAAAAGATTATTTTAACATAAAAATATCTTGTGAATTTTAGAAGATTATATAAAAATATAATTATTTATAAGAAAAAGAAAGAAAAATAAATTTACAAAAATAAAAATTAATTTAAAAAAATTACTTTTATAGATGGATTAAATATTTATTTATGGAAAAATTGTTAATAAATAAATTAAATAATTTTTTTGCTTTAAATAAATTAAATTTTTATATAAATTTTTTCTAGATGTAAATAAATTAATAAATTTTTTATTTATGATGAATCTAAAAAAATTATCGAATTCATTAATTTATCACCCTTAAATTCAAGAAGTCTATATAAAATTATAAATTATAATCTCATGATTAGCTTCCTCATTATACACTAATATATTATGTAAAAAAAATTATATTCACATTACATACATCTCGAACTCTTGCTCTTATAAATACGATTTCTTTCAAATAAATTATTAAAATTTAATTTAAAGATAGAGACATAAAAAGATACTTATATAAATGTAAAGTTTGTTTGAAATGATTAATAAATATATTATTTGGCTGACGGTAAGATAATACATGAAATGCACATAAAAAAAGAAAGAGAAATAATATTAAGAATATATAATTATAATTTATGAGTAAATTACAAAAAAAAAGTATTACAAATTTATTAACGTTAAGCTAAAACAATTTTTATTTATTTACTCTCGTATTATCATTTTAGAGAATAATATTTCCACTCTTTTCATTTCTTTTCAATTAACTCATTGTCTATTAGAGGAATTAAAGTGACTTGTTCAATAGCTTGACTCACATATTGAGTCAAACATCAAAAACATGTATCTAGAAAAATAATTGACTCAATCTAACTTGATGTAAAGGATTAACAAAGTCAACTTGGATTTGGCTTAAAACTTACTCAATATCTTTTTGATAATTTTTTTTAATTTAAATAAAACTAAAAAATAAAATAATTTAATTTAGTCTACCCACCAAGTTAAATTAAATTACAAAATAAGTGATTGTAAAAAAATATGTTAAACTAGATTAATATATATAT